CCTCTGCAATGATCATTGTATTGTCTTACTGATGTCTAATGTAAAACCACATTGGTAATTACAAAAGATATATAAAGCCAAGTATTATCCACAAATAATTCTTTGTATAAGGAGAATAACAAATTGTCCGTACAATATGAATGGAATGTGAACAGAATGTACCAATTTAGAAGTATAACAACTGTTTACATGTCCTTTAAATTTATTTTCAACACCTACAATGGAGAGAAAACAGACCGGAGTGCAATAACCACAGTGGAACGCACTGTGGAACGCATGGCTACGAAAACTGCCGAAACCGGAAGTGACGTATCGGCCGAGAAAGAGGAAACAGAAATCAGAATGAGGCTTGGAACGCAGGGTATCTCCGTTACCATGGAGAATACCCGCGAAAATCCAAGCATTGACAGCTGTTTCTACAAACGAAGAAAGGTATTTAAAGCAGGAGAAGAGGTCCAAGAGAACATCACAGAATTTAACCAGCTGAAGAAGCCACCTGGCGAAACGCGTTCTGGAAAGCGAAGTGAGCACTGAAAGACTTCATTTTGGACTTTATTGGACTTTATTTCAGCCATATAAGTGTTTTATTTATTTACTTATTTTTTCCATATATATATATATATTTTTATATGTGTTACAATTTTATAGTCAATAAATGAGATATATTTTTTAGTACACTTATGGCTTTTTCCTGCTAATTGAAAGAAGGAGTGTGGTCCTTAAACCACATATGCGCACTGAAGTGAGCCTATAGACTGGCTCTGGGTTTGACTGGATCAAAGAAAGGAGAAGAAGGGAGAGGGTCGCCTATACGGATCCTAAAGCACCTAAATCTGAGCTAGATTTATAGCTCAGAAAATTGTGAGTTGCCACTATTTTCCACCTATTTACATACAATCTGCACTATGTTATGTATTTTTTCCATTTTTACCTTAAGGTTAACAAAGAATAACTGATTAACATAGAAGAAAAATTGGGTAAACTTCTTTATTCAATTCTGCACATAAGCGCTACACCGTTATTACCTACTACTTTCTATAAATACTGGATATAATTACCCTCCAGCGAATAAATGGGAATATTCACATAAAATATATAAAAAGAGAAAACATCATAGTGCAAACTTTTAATTCCAAAGTGATAAAAACATAAATTAAAACACTCACAAACGATGTGGCACAATTGACAAAATCAATATGTGCTAAAGTGCTGATGCCTAAAATAGGCACGCTCCTGAAGAAGTCTGAACAGGAATAGACGAAACGTGTTGAGCAGATAGAGCAGATATCGACTCAGGAATCTGCAGCAGCTGATGGTGAATCATTTGATCTACACTTGTTGCAGCTTTTGCACAGACCTCCACAGACTGCCAGACCGGGAGATCTAGCCTATTTTAGGCATCAGCACTTTAGCACATATTGATTTTGTCAATTGTGCCACATCGTTTGTGAGTGTTTTAATTTATGTGTTTTTATCACTTTGGAATTAAAAGTTTGCACTATGATGTTTTCTCTTTTTATATCTTTTATGTGAATATTCCCATTTATTCGCTGGAGGGTAATTATATCCAGTATTTATATTTGGTGATAAGTGGCGCCCTATCTCTTTATAGTATATACAGTTTTGTTTTCTGTGCATAAGCTTCATCTGCCAGCATCATTACATGGGCCAGTGGCCCTATGGAATCTAGGAGCTTATCATGGGCTCCCTTAAAGCCTTTCTCAACCCCTTTTCTGGGATCTCTGCCCCCTTTCACCATGAAGGCCAGCTGGTCGAACTCCAGCGCACCTTTGTTAGGCAACGAAGGTCAGGGGCATTCGGCACATAGTCTTTTGCGGACTTCCTTGTCCAGTGCCTTCCTTAACCAAACGTGTATAAACTTCATGAGATGTGGTGGTGGTGTCCAATCCCCCTAATGAGGATGACGGATGTTCCTCGGGTCGAACATCCTTTGTCCTGTGAAGTCGTAGAAGCGCTCACTATCTGGTTGTTCAGAGACCTCCACCTCGTCTACGTCCTCCTGTTGCTGGGGCTCACCCAGGAATGTCTCCTTAACGAAGGAGTTGTGACCCCAAGTCTCGTCATCCGACTGACAATGAGGGGGGAACATCATGCTCCTCATCCGAGGAAGCATTGTATGCCATCTGGGGCATGGCTTATACGCGTTTCTTCTTTTTTAGGGGTGCTTTGCCTTTGTTAGGCTTCTGTTTCGACCCTTCGCCCTTCCAGTGGCGTTTGGCCGGGCATAATTGCCCTTTAGACGAGGAATCTGAATCATCCGACATCTCTCTTGTCTCTCTTTGAGAATGCTTGGGGGCGGTTTTGACAGTTCTTGGGTAACCGGTAGCGCCTTAGCTAAGGCCTTTTCAACTGAAGCGTCTACAGCCACGTTAATAAGGGCGTGTAGGTTTGCTGGTGTTTGGGAATCTTTTATTTCAGTACACACTCTGGGTCTCCCAAATTATTGTAGTTATAAGGTGGATAGGCACTTACGGTAGATCGTCAGCTGGGACCACTAGGAGGATTTTAATGGCCTATAGTATATATGGCCGTTTCATGAATAGGCAGACAGATTCTAGGGCTCATCTAGAAATAAAGGAGACTGCATGCACAGTTCCACTCACCCCAACCCGGAGTACTAGGTACGAGAACCTGACCCACCCTTAAAGGTTTGCACTAATCTGTAGCAGGTCCATGAGACAGGCAGTAAACACAGCAATAGCAAGATATTTGATTTAAAAATACACATAGTACAGCACACTGAGGGAATATGTCCACACAGCACAAACTCTGAATCACACTAAGTGTTTAAAATGGCTGTTTCGGACTGGGTACCTGTTTCGGGCTGTTTACGACTGGGTACCTCCGTTAATAGTCGCTCTTAGTGCTTCCCGAGGGCTCCAAGCACTCCGCCAGACACCATCACCAGCGCAGACCTCACGAACCGCCGCAGCTTGGTTGGGGTCTTGCCGTCTCCTATCCACCCTGGACCCATGACAAGGCTCCAGGTTCCAGTGGGTGAACCTCTCCTCCAAGAGATTAAAGCAGGAGCAAGCTCTTAAAAGAGCTTAGTAGTGATTATCCAAGGGAATATGCAGAGCATAGCAATACTTTGTAGTGATATAGCAATTCCCCCAATAAGAGACAAGACTCTAGATTGAGGGTTAAGCTTGAACAGAACAAACTGAGGCTTTATTGCTTCTTCTTATATACACATTTTCCCACAAGGTTACCACCCATGTGGACCTTGTGGTACACAGGACACAAAGTTCCAAAAGCCAATCAACACAATACAGTACAGTTAAACACTCCCAATCATTCCAGTAAAATCCTCCCCTCTGCTTGGGAGATAATTGGGCTAATTACGGTATCAGCTCAATTATCTCCAAATGAAAAATACACTTTTTACACAATTTCTATAACTCCAAAATTATACATCACATTCATATAAAACTATATATTTTCTGAACCAGCATAATTAGAGAACCAACATACTCAAAAATCATGCGAATCCATTTAGCCATTCGGGAGTTAGCTGGAAGTCACATTTGACCGACCGCATGCACATTTTCATGTCTAAAACAGTTCCAGAGAATTCGGCTGTGCGGCCGATCTATTTCCCATATTAAATGCAGTTCAAATAGATGAACCGTTCGTGCAAATGTCAATATAAATGTGGCATTCGTAGTCGAACACTGTTCGACTACTGTCGAAGCGTCAAAGTCACATAGAAGGTAAAGTTCAGTGGTGTTCATGTCGTCGAGTGTCCGATTTGAGTTCCATGAACTCGACGACCAAACACCGCTGAACAGCGATCGACTAAACAAAATGGCCGCCGCCGCACGTTTGAATGTCGAATGGCGGCCACTTTGTCTACTTTGGCACTTCAGCTGCATCCGAAGTGCCATTTCAAATGTACAAATCCCTTCTCATAGTAGTTAAAGGGGCAGAAGCAGTGTAACAAAATCCAATATGCCCAAATAGTGTTGTTAACTGGCAATACCTCACAGGGGCCATAGTCACAAGGCAAAAGGTTAGCCATTAGTCCTCTCCAAGCACAAATGGTGAAGGGCACTTCGTTCATAATGACCACCAGGACTCTCACGATGCGTGAAAAGCCTGCAAAACCATATATACGATTTGCGGGGAAGCTCACGAAGGGATCAGTGAAAATTTCTGCGAACGGCATTACAACACCTTCTTATATACAAAGACAGAACTAAGCAAAATATGGAAGGAGTGCCTTTTATTTGCGACTATAGTACAGATAACTATAGAATTAAAAAAATTATCAAACACTTTTGGCCGATTTTACTTCAAGACCCAGTTTTAGAAAGGGTTCTATCAGAGCAACCTCGATTCATTTATAGAGGAGTTAGGAATGTACAGAATATTTTAACTACGAGTTTTATTAAAGAAAAAAATGTGTCTGAAACCTTCCTGAATAAAGAGAGAGAGGATTTTTTGGATGCGGCCAGTGTTTGGCCTGCAAAAGAACAGGTAACAAAAAAAAGAAGAATGATCACATTTAAGACGGGAAGAAGCATCAGATAAGAGAACTCATCACTTGTCACTCCAGTAACCTTATTTATGTTATGCAATGCCCATGTGGTCTGAATTATATTGAGAAAACCACTAGAGCTCTTCACATCAGGATAGAGGAACATATCAGAAACATTTTAAAGGGGTTAGAAAGTCACAGCATACTTCTACATTATAAACACTACCACGACCAATCACCAGCTGGCACTATCTTTTTAGGAATAAAAAAAGTAGAGAAAGACTGGAGAGGAGGTAATTTTGATCTCAAATTAAGCAAAGAGGAAATGCAATGGATTTTTAAACTCAATACTCTCATTCCCTATGGTCTTAACTCAGACTTCGAGATGTGCCATTTTTAAAAAAAAAACAATGCTCGAACTTAAGCACTGTAACCCGCAACAGCCCTTGTAGAACTTGTCCCTGCACAACCTAAAACTGACAGCCGAGACCGGGTCTGGATGTCCAGCCGCATACCCGCCAAAAAGAGCCAGAAGGAATCTCCATCGGTGGCGGACATGCTCACCTCACAGTGGCCTGCACCACGAGGCATGCCTGCGGCCTCCAGCTCATCCAGGTCGGAACAGCGGAACCTTCCCCAAGCAAATGGCAGCGAGCAGCGCATGGAGCATGTTGTCACAGCTCATAACACTGCCACAACCCTTACCAATAGTCTACTCCACAGGATCACCAACCTAGAGCTGGAACTAGAGGATGTCTCTAACCGATCGCGGCGCAGCAACTTGCGCATCCGAGGCCTACCAGAAACCGTAGAAGATGCAGACCTGGAAAAGGCCCTGCTTCCGACAAAAAACTGCCAGATATCCCAGAACACCTCTGGCTGGTAGACAGAGTGTACAGAGTCCTCCGGGCCCGGAGACCAAAACACAGCCCACCCAGGGATGTTATAATGAAATTGCACTATTTGAAAACAAAAGAAGCTATACTCCGGCTCGGCAGAACACTGACGTATGAAATCGACAGAATTGGTATACAGCTCTATTAGGACATTGCTCCAGCCACACTCCTCCAGAGGAGGGAATGGAAACCAATAACAGATCTACTACGCACGGCCTAAGATTCGCATGGGGATAACCGTTTAACTTGTTTTCAACGGCCCGAAACCTGCGGTGCTTCTACCCTCTACAGACATCCTTGACATTGATGTCCCGGAGGACTTTCAACTTCCATCCACCGCTCTGGTAACGCTCCCCATGATACCAGAAGCCAGAGAAAACCATCAGAGCCAGAACTAAATGGCTGATATTTCCCACAGCATGACGGCTGGGCCTGGGACCAGGCCACACGCAAGTTACTCTGGGACTTAACACAGTTTTTTCACTTTAATAACTGTTTAGTTTAAGAGATTTTTGTAACGTATACTGGGAACATATTTTCGTAATCTTTATCACAGCCCGTATTGTTCTCTGACTTCCTGGGGGGGATCTGGACGAGGTTGGATGAGACACGGACAGGGATGGCTTGCGGTGGTGCACTAATAAGTACGGACGGTGCGAGGGAGCGGTGAGATGCACACCCCAAAGGGAGCTCCCTGGACCACACAACCCTGACTGCATTTAATACCCATAGCTTGCCAGCACAAGTCTTGCCAGCACAAGTACTGGGGAGAAAACCTTTTCCTTGACCCGCCCGAGCAAAGCTAGGCCTAGTACCATACAAAGCACCCTACCTGTCACTGTACTGGTAAATCACACGAATACTTACCCATAGACCAACACGGAATCACTGGCTACTGAACGCCACCTCTGACCCCGGACAAAACCCACATTAGCCACTGGTTCCCAAATCATAACCCTAGCACAGCCACTGCATACATGTCCCCACTTACCCTCTGGTTGATCGCTAGCACACGCAGACACGGGGAAAACTGACTGAGATTGCACACTGGCAGTAGCGCAGGTATGTACCAGTATCTAAACTGCACTTGAAACTAGGGGCCCCGTGCTTAGGATGCTTCAGGTACAGGGGGAGGATGGTGGGTTGGAAAGGGGGTAAAAACCATCATTGCACCTTAACAAAAAAAATAAAAAATTAAATTGAAAATTAACGTTACCACGGTATGGAGCCC